TGTATAAAAGTTGTATATTTAGATGTTTTTTCCATGAAAATAATACCTTCCAGTCGTGAAATGACTTACACAGCTCTACACTGTTGCTTCCTTTAGAAAGCACAGATCTACAGATTCCCTGCCTCTCTCAAGCACGCTGCAGCCAAGCACACCAGCTCACCTACTGCCCCAACACACCAAAACTAGTCCATGCAACAATGCAAAGTTGTAATGTTGGACCAATCCAGTGATATATGCTGAACTGGAGACCCATTCTGAAGAAGATTTAAGATGTGTAAAGTCCCACCCTGCAAGTAGACAAGATTGGTTTCTTGGGTTTGTTATGTATGAAACTCTGGAAGTCTAAATTTGTGTATGTTGGAGCTTCAAGTTGGAAAAGCTCCATCATTTCACTCAGGCTTGCAGCATATAAAACCACCTTATGGAAATGCTAGCAAGGTAAACGACTTGATTTTCACCAGAGGGGTTCTTGACTGATTGATTTTCTTGCACTCAGCTGTTAAAAAATCATTTAAGAAGTGTTTTAATTCTAAAATCGTCGCCAGTGAACAACAATCTATGCTATATGCAAATGACTAAGGTCCTCTCGCTATATGGGGGGTATACATGAACACAGCAAGTCTTTGTTTCAAAGATCTGTAGCCTGATCTTAGCACGGTCACGTATGTTACAAAGACCTGGTGGAGGAGTGTCATGGTCATTAATCTCAACAGGGCCACTTTCCCACAGAATCGACTCTGCTGTCGTCTGGGCAGCTTGTAGCAGCTGGAGGCTCGTGAGACAAAAAAACACTCGTCACTACTCTTCTCTTCTCTTCTCTTCTCTTCTCTTCTCTTCTCTTCTCTTCTCTTCTCTTCTCTTCTCTTCTCCCTCTGCTAATTCTGACACCTTGTTGTTTTATGTGCACTGACTTTCTCCCCTCGGCCTCCTCTCTCTCTCTGCAGTCTAACTCCGACACACTGACCCTTGCCAGCTCTCCCTCCACTCCTCAGTGTGAAGCAGACTGTCAGTGACATCAGCCTCCGTCTTTTAGGTCTCCTTGCCGACTAGAACCTGGCCCTCTGTCTCTCCATATGGAGGCGATTTTCTCGCCGCTCCATAGCCATTAGAAAGTGCAAATGCATTTCGGCAAACGTTAAATAAACAGCCCGATTACTTCTTCACACTCCTGCAACCACTTTGGTCTCAAGTGAACCGTAATCGCTGCCATGCAGATTCAGTGGATACAGCTACGCGTTAATCTTTGTGCGGAATAATATCCACAGTCGGGCAAATAATGGCTTCCAAAGGCTTTGTAATAATGTCTGTGTTTATTCCAATAGTATTAAAATGTGTTTTCATGGTAAATTTTGCCCATCCAAGTGCAACAATGAATAATCCTGCAAAATGGAACAAGGTGCAGTAATTATGACCAATAAGCAAAACCCACTTATTGAGGTAAATGTTAATGTTGGACTAATTCAAACTGGCCGTGCCAATGTTTTTCAATGACATACTAATTTACTGCCCAGACTAGAAAAAATCTACCAAGTTGGTGGGCGTACTAAATAATTTTAATAGAAAACAGTTAAAATAACTGCATTTTAAATAACTGTACCTCGGCCAGCAGCTTTGACCTCTCTGTACAGGCCTCCACGATATTTAACACAACATGTGACAGGCTGCACTACATTAGACCTCTACCCGCCCTCCTGCTCTGTTTCTCCAGGCTGACTGCGGTGGCTCGCCTCTGGGTGAAAATGTTGGTCTTTACTGGGCTCGGAGTCTGCGGTCTGTGGTATTCTGGAGCAGCGCTGGCCATCACCGGGAAGCAAACTACCTCCCACTTTACAAGCTGCTCTGCTGGACGTTCCTCTGAGCTTTTTTTCATTCATTCTTCTGTCTGTTATGGCCATGATGATATTCATGGAGACGTTTCCAGACTGCCTCTGTGCTGCCTACAGTTACAAGAGTAATATGGGTGTGTGTGTGTGTGTGTGTGTGTGTGTGCACATACTAACACACTTTCAGAGAAAGAGAAAGACACAAGAAGGAGAGAAACTAATCCTCCTTTCCAGGCACAGAAGCATCTTGAATGCACGGCTGTAAAAGAAAAAGGTACAAAACCGCAGAGCGCAGGATCCCTTTCAACTGTTGTTTTACAGCTCCCAAACGTAATCCAACACAGGCTTTTAATCTTAATTCAAAACAACTTTACAATCATATCAACAGTCCAACTACCACACAGTAGCACGATTAGCAAGCAATCCAGCTACCCACCACCAAACATAAAAAAGGCACAGATGTGGGTAAGGCTGCCTGGTGCTGCTAAAAAGCAACAGATGGGTCCAGGCAAAAACACATGGCCTTTATTTCGGTCCTTGGGAAAATGACTCTCTGATAACACTATCTGCAGTTCCTCTAGTCCAACTTTTAAGAAGGTTGCATCATGTGAAATAAAGAAACCCACCTTGACGACACTCTTCTCCCACAAATCCTGGGCAGCATCTCCACTCCAGTGCGGTGACTTGCTTGTAGGCGAGCTTGAATGACGGCCTGATCACGGTCCTGTAGCTGGAAAAAAGCATGTGGTTATTGATCTCAGAGTAACGTGCTGCAGTTACTTGCAGACATATGAACATACAAAATGCACAGACATGCTTGAAGTGCCAAATATTAATGCTTTACTTTGCTTTTTTTTTTTTAAATAGTGAACAGTAGAGTGGAAAAGACAGAGGGGGAATGACAAGAAAAAAAGATAAATTAGATTAACACAGCCAAAACCAACACTTTTAATTAGAGACAGGGTAAATAATTCCCGCCTTGGGTTTGCCTTGGGCCCCCTAATCACCAAATCCGCCCCTGCCACCATGCAGGACCTCCCATACTCATTAATAACTGAGAACACAACAACAGTACCAGCATCACCTACAACTGAAAGAGTTGATGAGAGAAAAGGACTTGACTGAGGACTTTGAGGCTACCTGATGACTTTGGCACAGGGTCCGGGCCATCTGCAGCCCTGAAACACTCTCTGCACTGACGTTTCTGTCCCATTGTGCACCTGACAAGACACTGTTCTGGAAACAGTGTACTGGCACCAGTTCCTAAAATACAAAATAAAAGAGATGGAAACCTCATTAAAACCAAATGAGAGACAGTGTATCCAGTGTTGCAAAAGAAAAAAGAAAAAAAAAAAGAGAAAAGAACAGCATACTGGACATCTGAACAAAGAGCTTCAACATTCATGAGTACATTTTACTCCTCAAGAATTTTGTGCGCAAATTGGCACAACCTCTGCAGAATGAGCGCACCTGAGTTGGGTGCGGGACCCGGTACCCGGTGGTCCCGTGCTGCCGCTCTGCTCCGACTTGATGCGCTGCCGCTGCACAGTGATGCCTGGAAAGTGATAAACGAACCCGGTTCCGAGCGAAGGACAGACTAAACTTATCCACACGCACAGCGCGTAGAGAGACGAAAAAGCCATAATCTGCGCTTGATTTTTATCCCTGACAGAGATATCCAAAGATATCGACGATTTTCAAGTAAATCCTGAAGCTATAATTTCCTTTTTGATCTACAGTAACTGAAGCGGAATCGGGAAAGAAAAGCAAATCCCACAGAAACCATTGGTTATCTCTTCCTCCCGACGAAAAGCAAGCTGGCCCTCTCAAGAGCCCGCAATGAATGACACACAGCCTCTTCCTATAGAATAATTTGGGTTTCTGACGTTTGACATGGTGCCGAGGACTGAGGAGTCAAATATCCAGTGTGCGTAAAAAGCGCGCTGAGTGTGAGGGCTGGAGACGGAGTGCGTAAAAGCGCAGCTGGTCCCGCTAGAAAACCTCTCTGTCTTCATATAGGATAATGTGAACGATATGGCCAATGGTGTACTCAAAGTTACAGAGCTTTAAGTCATTTTGCCCGTGTTATGTCTGTGGTGTGTTTATTACCCTGATTGATGCTGCAGACTATCCCACAGGAGCTCATTTTAAGTATATGTTATTCCGTAAGCCTTAGATTGGAGTAATAGTGATAAATATGACCGCTGACGTTCAATCACATCACTTTATCAAATAGCAGGCTACTTTTCTGTTTGAAGATGAAGCTCGATTGCGTAACTACAGCAAATATTTGTATAATGAAAGGCCATTTGATGCTTTAAATCAACCGTTGAACAACCAAAATTGAAGCCAGACGTTTTCTTTTAACACACACATATATATAGGCTATACGTATTTATGCAAGGCTTTTTTTTCAAGTACCAAGTTGAATGTGGAAGAATAATCCTACCTACATCATATAAACAATAGCTAAAAACTCAGTTTTTAAAGAAAATGACCAATTTATAGTTTGCAATCTTACAATTGCAAACGCATAGTTAGACACATGATCTAAAAATGACACTGTATTCATTTTTTCCTCATAATTTAGATTTTGTACAGCAGATTTTAGATCTGTTATCTCATAATTTTGATTTAGTAGGTTAAAAAAAAAGAGTAAAAACTCCATTTTGCACGTTGTTTTAGTATTTTAAAGACTGCTCTGTGGTATTTGGTTCTGTATATCGGGTTCTGAAACATTTTCTGTTTTTGTATGTTTGTGTTTGTGCATGTGTTGTCCTGTTCACTTGTGCCCCTGACTTTAAGTGCCAACTTCACCATCTCAGTTGACTGAATTGGGAAAAAAAGTGAAAAACATGCATAAAACTGACACATTACTGATAAACTATTGACTTTATGCCCTGCTGTTTTAACTATCTCATAATTTTGATTTCGTGAGGCAGCGTTTTTACTGATCATCTCATGATGTTGAGCTTTTTTTTTTTTGTATCAACCACACTTTCAGTTTTAAAATAGTTGTCTTTGGATAATGAGCCTTAATTTAAGCTTTTGATGAAGTAAAGGTGACATGAAACTGTTCCAGCACTGCACCAGTTTGGGGACCACACTGGGAGTAAGGGCGGATGTCCTGGCGGCCAGCGCCCCCTGCAGGCCGCTGTGGTTCCCTGCTGGCTTTAGGAGGAAGGAGACGTGTCCCATCGCAGATTAGCCTTAAACGGACTGATGGAGGCAGACATCACCGGAGCAAACATGGGAGAAAAAGCAGAGGCAGACGTGGAAATGACTGAAAACCCGTTTGAGCCCTACATTGAATCTGTCCGTCAACAGCTGGAAGACCAAGACCCGGTGTTTCTGATCGGAGTGATCGTCGCTTTGGCGGTGGTCATCATCACCTGCGGTGAGAACTTAGCTCAAGTTAGCATGTTAGCTCAGCGGGCTAGGCCAAGCGTGTAGCTCTGCACCGTTACCCACAGTGTCAGGCTGTTTGATAGCGGTCCTGTCTGCTGTGTGTTCAGTACTGACGTTTAAACTACAAAGTTGATTTAAATAAAAGATCATATACTTTAAAACCGTAATTGAACTAGCAAGCCAGAAAGCTAACTGCTAAGCTAACAAGCTGTCAGTTCCACAGCACAGACTCTTTCAAACTCTGCGCATTTCTGGTTTTGATAAGTCTGTCAGCTGAAAAAGGCCTTCCTGCTTTCTCTTTTTAGTGTTTCTGAAGTACTTTCTCACCAGTAAAACTGTCCGGACTGCTGTGCTGCTGGTCGGGCTGTGTGACTCTGGGAAAACCCTGCTTTTCAGCCGTGTGAGTGAATGAAACTTAACCGTGGTTCCCACCGCCACGTTGTCTGTCACTGCTCTGAAGCTCAGCTGATGAGAAGCTCGTTCTTGGTGTTTTTTTTTTTTTAAAGAGAATGTTGTTTTCGTGTTTTGGCAGCTCTTGTCAGGAAAGTTTAAGCGCACACAGACCTCCATCACTGACAGCAGTGCTCCATACAAAGCCAAAAATGAGAAGGTGAGTACACACCAAAAGGACAAAACTAAACTGTATGAACGAACCTTTCATGTAAAATGTGATTTACAGTTACCTTTACTCCCTCCTGTATTCAGGGCAGCACCTGGACTCTGATAGACCTGCCAGGACATGACAGTCTCCGACCTCAGTACCTGGAGAAGTTCAAGTCGGCAGCCAGGTAAGATGCAGGTTTATGTTCATCTGTTAGATCTGTGCAGTTCTGGAAAACTATGACATTTGAATATTCCTGTCTAGAAAGAGTTAATCATTCAATAATAATTGGGGTGATGGTGTAGCGGAGGGCATCTGCATTGAAAATAAAACTTTTCTCGTATGTATTTTGGATGACATTTGGATCTGGCTTTGCATTTGTGGTGTTGATTTAAATGTTCAAACAAAATAGCGGCATCTATTGCGAGAAACTGCTAACGGAGTTGGTCAACATCAACCTTTCTATAGCCCCAAACATTTCCATGCAGCTGATGTTGTGTTTCTGTTTGCAGTCAACAAACTCTATGTCAACAAGCTCAGTGCATCCAGGAACACTGGAGTAAATTAGGACAGACTTCTCTTGTGGATTAGCCACGGAAAATGAGAGCAGTGTTTCCTGACTGATTGGCCTTACTTCACATCACACTTGCTGCAGTGTGACTGTTGCGTACATTGTGATGTGCATCAATACACTGTGCAGCCCTAATGTGTATGCATTTTGCTGTTCCTCCTCACCACATCTTACTCACCCTTGCCCTCTATCATTCATGTCTGCAGAGCGATTGTGTTTGTCGTGGACAGCGCCATCTTCCAGAAAGAAGTGAGAGATGTGGCAGAGTTTCTGTACGTGTTGTTGACCGACACTGTGATCTCCAGAAATGCTCCAGCTCTCGTGGTGGCATGCAACAAGCAAGGTTCGACAATCACTTTTTGGCTGTAAAAAAAAAAAAAAGAATTTCTACAGTATTAGCTTTATATTTGTTCTTCATTTTCAGGCTTCATTGCTTACTTGTAATACAGCACAGTCATTCACTGGTCTCTATATTTCACAGACATCACTATGGCAAAGTCGGCCAAACTGATTCAGCAGCAGCTGGAAAAGGAAATGTAAGTAACTGTTGCTGTTACTAGTTGTCTGTTATACCTGTGTTTAGTAATGATTTTTCATACTTCTTTAGAAATAAAAACTGGAAATGTCAAAACTGAAGCAGAGGAGATATCTTAACTTTTGTACCTCCTTTTTATCTGGTCTGAACGAGTGATTTATAATCTCGATATGTTATCTGGACAATTACAACCAACCCACGAGTCTTTTGCATTTAGGCCTTGTACTAAAATGCACTCTCGGTATCTTGAGTGAACCTGCAATTTGATCTGACCTCAATATTCAGGTCAGTCTGGCAGAGCTTGTTGATTTGTCAATAAATAGGGAGCGTATCAGGTCAAAGGAAGCCGTGCTGCTCTATGGACTCTACTTCTTCTTTTTCTAGTTAATAGTACTGCTACCGCTTGTAGCCTTTGTTGGCTGACTTCCCAGGAAGAGGAGTGATATGTGACCTTTCCACTCGTTAGGTGGATTTTTTTTTCTTAAGAATGTGGGTCATGCTGATCATAATGCAAGCCTGATTGTCTCTAAGTGTGGTACGGCTGATTGAGTCATATTCTCATCCCGCTGTGCTCTGCGTGCGTTTACACCTTTCACCGAGTCACATCTTCTCTCATTCACCTCAGTTATTTGAAGATAAGTCACATTTTAGATGCAGGGATGAAAGGGATTTTAGTCTCTGGAGTGGGTCAAACCCAGGGCTCCACAGTCTGTGGAAAGTTTATCAGGTTAAAATGTCTTATTTCAGTCGATATCGATAATTATTGATCATTGTTCGTGACTCATTTTAATAAAGACCAGGAGAAAAAAGTTTAATGTGAAATTGAACCACTTGAGCCGAATAATTATTTATCAGTTAGCCAATCTATCATCGTGGCGTGCATGTTCGCAGCAGCGCATGGCTCTCCCTTTTTGTGCTTCTTTCTTTGTTTTCTGATCAGTATGGGTGCAATTACCAATGTAGTCATCGCCTCGAATCTCGTTGTACATTGTGTCATGATAATAAAGGTTTTCTATACTATCAAGGTACACAATATCATTTTATGTTAGCACAGCAATAAAAAAACATGCAAATGAAGACATTTATACTTGTATAAGATAAATAAAGTCGAGTAATACTTTATTGCTCAGGCCAAGTTAGGCCATGTCTGAATCTTTCATTTTCCAAACTGACAGTTGATAGTGTATATTACACCCTTGTTGAGTTGTGATAGCAATTCTAAAATCAATAGTCAATTTCTGACTTGACAAAGCTCCTTTTGGAGCCATAAAAAATGACATAACTGCATTCACATGCTGAGGTAAACTAGAAACTGTACAACTGAGTTTTACTCCATGTATCAAGTAAACTAATCTGTGTTAAATCTCACTCAAAAATAACTGTAGATTTGACAGTAAGCAAATAAAGATGCTTTCACACCATCTTTTGTTTTCTCACAGGAACACCTTGAGAGTGACTCGCTCGGCAGCGCTGAGCTCTCAGGACGGCTCTGTTGGCGGCAGTCTGTATCTGGGCAAAAAAGGCAAGGACTTCGAGTTCAGCCAGCTGCCCATGAAGGTGGAGTTCCTTGAGTGCAGCGCCCGCGGCAGCAAGGGTGACGAGGGGGATGCAGACATTGAGGGCCTGGAGAAGAGCCTGGCTAAACTGTGAAGTCAGCAGCTTAATAGCCTCAGTGCGCATTTTGCCTTAAAGGCACAAACGTCAGATCAGACCACCTCAACGTCCACCGGCACCTCAGCAATCAAAGGGAGAAAGACAAACGCCTCTCGGTGGGGTGTCTGTGTAACGTTCACCTCTTAACGCCATTTAAGCATGAAATATCTGTGCAACACACGAAAGGATTTTCATGGTGGAAGACGTTCAATCAAACATATGAGATAGACTATTATTGTAATTGTGGACATTAAAGAAATGAGAACTGATGTAGCAGTTTGTCAGGTCGTTCTGCAGTGCTGTGAAATGATCCTGCTTATCCAATATAGTGTGAACATCCACTTTAAAGAGTTTTGTTTGGAAATTATACAGCTTAGGAATTATGTAAGATTTCACCAGATTTATTTTAAGATGTCCTCTTGTCCGAGCTGTGAAACTAGACAGGTGTGAACTGCATTTATTCGTTAACTTGGACTGCCTGCCTTGTGCCTTTTTTCTGGTATTGTTATAGACACACGTTTTGCTTTTTTGCAGAAGAATGATTGTTCACTTGTGTGAAAGTGTGAATACAGTGCATTTGCAATGAATGTATGAATTTGCTGCAGTCGTACGAGAGGGACACTTTGTGTTTATGTTGTCTGGCTTGTTTAAGTAACTGAAACTAAAGCTTTTGATGCAAATGCTGAACACGGACGAGTGTAAATGAATAACAGATTCAACATGCACTGATTCATGAGCAGCAAACAGCATTTAATCATTATAATCTCAGTTGCTCCATGTTACGATGACATGAGTTAGCTGGGTGTCGGTTCACAAGATGCTGATTCACATTCATTTTAAAAATGGCACCACCACTCCTCCCCAGGGGACGAGGTCATGCGGCGGACCGCAAAGCAATTCTGATGTGTGGTTGTGTAGTACTATTGTTTTCAAATGTCTTTGGGAACAGCTTTCAGTTTCTGTGCTTTGATTTCTGCCTGGCACCTGGTTTGGGTTGAGATGTGTTTTGTTTTCTCTATAAAAAGAACTGCAGACTCAGTTAAAAATGAAATAAACATTTTCTTTTGTCAGATGTGGCTGCTGTAGGGGCCAAAAAATGCAACTTGTTTACGAAAAATATGATGAATTCAGTGTCAGACAAACAAAATATGCATTTCAAAGGGTGATAATTTTATAGGACCCCACACACGAAAAACCAAAATGAGTTAAAACCCAAAAACAATTATATATTTAGTTTGTTAAATACGGCATGAACTGTCATGTAAAGCTCATTTTTGTAATGTTTCTCTGCTGCTGTAGAGATTTTGAAAACCAGTGATGGTTTTTTATGTCCACAGTTTAGGCTTTTAGAAAGGAAAGTGTACAACAAGTTAAGCATCATTCAGCAAAAAAACAGTCCATACAATGATGCTGCTAGTCCAACAACAACAAAAAGGGGAGTGTTATTCTCAAAAAAAAATTTTGAGTTAGGCAAGTGAAAATCTTGTACTGCTCTGAGCAAAACTAACGAATGACAAGTAAAGTGCTGAAATCTACATCTGGGACAGAGAATAAACAGTCAGACTGGAGCTCTGATCAGCCACAATCACACTTGGTTCTCCTTTCAGCACAGCAGGGCAAAGCCAGTTCACCTTGTCCCCGTGGCTGATGCTCAGTTTGGGTCCAGACTTCTCCTCCGTCACCTCCTCTGCACCTCCTGCTGCTTTATCCTCACCCTCAGCTTCCTCTTTCTCTGCCTCAGCCTTTGGTGGGGTCTTTCCTTTATCCTGCTGTTGCTCTTTTCTCTTTGCCTTGTTTTTGCCCTTTCTGCGTTGTGGCACCGTCACTCGACTTTTCCCTTCTGGAGCCATCACCGGGTGCTTACTGAGGTCCCACAGGGCGACGTTGCTGTCATTTCCCCCACTGACGAGCCAGTACGGGTGCGAAAGGAAACTGACAAAGTGGGCTTGGGAGGCTCCTTGACTGTGGGCTTTGAATGCTCCCTGCTGTTCCAGTTTAGAGCCGCTGCCGATCCGCATTAGATGCACTCGCCCGTCCTCTGCTGCACAACCCAAAATGTTTCCACAGCTTGCCACAGACACACAGTGGGCCAGTGGCGGGTTGAAAAGCTGACCGGGGCGCTGCTGGTGGTCATCTTCCTCCTCTGCCACGTCCTGGAGGTTGAGGGTCCACAGAGGCCGGGTCTTCTGCAATCCCCACAGCATCACCTGAAGCGTCAGGAAGATGACAGTTAGAAAAGAAATGATGTCAAGTGAAAAACAAAGTACTTAAACTGTTAGTTCTTGTTTCCCTCACCTGCATGTCCAGTCCTACAGACACCAGGTTGTTGGGCCGGTGAGGCCGGAAAGCCACAGAGGAGCAGATGTTGGTGTGTCTGCGCAGAGTCCTGCACGCTTTCCCCCCAGGAAGCTCCAGCACCCGCACAGCCCCGGAGTCATCAGCCACTGCCAGAGCCGATCCAGTCTCATTCAGCGCTAAAGCATTGATCTCCTCCTCCCCTGCACCATGAAACTCCTCCACTGGGCCCTTCAGATTCCTGGGGTCGAGGACACTCACGGTGTCTCCATGCGACACATACAGCTGGCTCGGAGCTGCAGGTGAGAACACAACACTTGTGCTGTCGTCCTCACCGGAGAGAGTCAGACGGCCGATGATGGTTCCCTCTTGACTCCACACTGTGACTTCCCCACCCTCAGAGCCTGAAGCGAGGAGACCTTCAGGGCCTGGAGACGCCTCGACACACAGGATAGAAGTGGAGTGGCCCTCAGACCACTGCCTGGCCATCCTGACCCTGTGAAACGCAAGTTAACAAGCAGGAGGTTTATTAGTCGAAAAATGTCTTGGTATAATGGGCAAAAATTCAATTGCACCTTTAACTGCAATCTGTTAAATGACAATAAAGCAGAATCACCACCTTTCTGACAAAACTTCAACAAAAACTGATCCAAAGCTGAAAACTCTGTCAACCAAGTTAATCAAGAAAAAACACACATCTAGTTCTGATTGTAAATTTTTACAAAAAAAGTGTCAAACAATATTTGTTCAATCTCAGGTAAAACTGGGGTGTCAGTTGAGTATATAGAGATGATTGGGATGAATAGGACCCTGACATTGTCTGTACATATTGTCACTTACACAGCTTGCGTTTATCTATCAGATAATGTCTGGCCTGCGGTGAGATTTTACAACATTGATCAATCATTAACAAAAGCCTTAAGCTGAACATTATAACCCTTGAAATGTACGATTCATTAGTAGCCAATTTAGGTTGCTGCAAACACAGAAAGCAAATGCCAAACCAAACAGCTTTAGGTTTGCTAACTTGTTAGCCGAAAGGCTAATGTGCAGCTTCTCCTTTCGCTGAAGGGTTAACAGCGTTAACAAAAGTGCTGGTGTTAATTTACTGCTTTAAAATAATTTATTACAGTGTTGCCACGGTACTAATAACGTCAAATTCAGAGAATTACACTACCTTAGCAAGTGCAGTCCAAAGTTGAGCAGGTTGCCATGTGCGGCTCAGTCGCTTATTGATGACGTCATAGAGAAGTTAAGATTGTCGCCCTGTGTGTAGCCTGTCAGGCGGTACCTTGTGGCTCTCTTTTTGTTTATGAGAAATTTGGGATATTTTGTCTAATCATTACTAAAAATGCAATTATGCATACTAATGTGTATAATGTATAAACCAAAGTATTTCACTGATAAAGTTTGCTGTCTTTTCTACAAACTTGGACTAAAGTGTTGCCTGCGAGGCAAATTTCGGGAAAATTCTTCTTAAATTTTGTGTTTGCAAAGCTTACACTGACTGTCCTAAGAGCGTTTTCGTTCGTGAGGACGTTTAACCTCTCGTCCAAGAAGCTTCTCCGTTTCTAACTACCTGTCAGGGAGTTTCAAATGCAGTCACCTCCAAAAACATGACTAATGACCCAAGGCTTACAGGCCTTGAGGTGTAAATGGTTGCAAAACTGCCAGGTGAGGGATGATTCAAAGTGTCTGGGGAGCACTCTCAAGACTATGTTATATATAACTGACAAGTGGTGTCAGAGACCCCCCTCTGTTCAGAGATGGATGTTCAGGTTTTTTCATACATAGAGGGCTTTTTTTTTACTTCACTCTCAAAATATGTCTCTTTTCTACAGCACCACGTATCAAAACTGAATTATAAGCAGCTGATAAGTGGTTCATAGACTCTCCTTCCTCTGTTTAGGGATTGTTGTTCCAGTTTATCATACGTAAATGGCTTCCTTGACTTCTGTTTCAGATTGTCTGCCTTCTACATGACACTGCTCGTCAAGACTGCATTATAAGTACCAGGGAAGTTATAGAGACAACAGATGGTTAGAGAGAGGAGTTTAGACAGTCATCTATGTTGAGCTGGAACAGTCATCTATAAACAGAGATGACAGTCTACAACATCACTTATCACGCACTTGTAATACAGTCTAGTGTTCCCACCTCAGACAGTTTCATCACCGTTAATATCTCGAGTCATACCTCACCTGGACGTTTCACAACCGAGACACATGAGTCTTGGGTTAGTAATGGGCCATGAGTCATGAATTTGGTGTCACAATAAATTCTTGAGACTCTCCAACTCTCTTTTAGGACTGAGGAAGACTCCTGGATGAGACGTGAAACATCTTCAAGAACCAAAGGGAGGAGTCGAGTTGCTTTGTACGAAAGCCCTTTGGATGACCACGACGGGATGACTAAGAATCCACATGAGCATATTTTCACTGACTGGGCTCTTCAGTAGTCAGGTGTGAAATGAAAGAACATAGGTGTTGTGATGACCCCCGAGGTCATCTTGTAGGTGGTTCTAGTTCCTCTGTTGGTTCTGTGAGTGGCTGTTTGATGTAATCAGGAGCACAGTCTGCAGTCTAACTACTCTCTTCTTTCCTCCGCAGGTAACACATCGGTCTAGTTACGGGTTAGATTCTTCTATATCTTTATTTTTAGCCTTATTGTACTGCTGTATTTCTTGTTTTGCTTCATTTTTTTTTGCACTTTTTAATTTACATTACTTTACATTTCCAGCATTTAGATCCCACATAAGTTAAGACATAATATTGCAGCATTAAATATAGCTATATTAGATGAAATATAGTCAAAAAAGTTAAAATGCAATTATATTGAAAAGATGAACCCAATATCAAAATGTAAACAAGAATGAGACCTTTCAAATGCTATAACTTGTTTTGACCAGACACTAACTCATTCTGATGTGATAAATTATAGATTTTTGTTATTTTAATTTCTGTACAAAAAAAAATATAAATGAATAAAATAAATCTGCATAAGCTATTGGCATGATTACAACTTTTTCTTGGGGTTTCAGGAACATTCAATTTAAAAAACAATAAAAATAAAAAAAAGATTCAGGCAGATCCTGGGAAAAATAAGCAACTAGTGAGGCTCAAGAGGTATGTGGAGTACAACTGTGGGATTTTTATAAGATTCTATGGTTTAGATAGAAGTTTTTTTAATGATTTTTTTTTTTTTCAAAAGAATAAATATGAACTGGGAAAAGTTTAGAAATCTGGGTGAATTGGCATGAAATGACCCCATATGATGAGCCTAAAGTGTGATCTGTAAACAGCCCACACAACAAAGTGAAAATTGAAGGATGATGGGATAGAAACAATACTGAAAGTTACAAAAACGTGATCGGGCAACTATTTTAATTTAGATTGTACTGTTATATTTCTTGCCTTGCTTCTTTCATGCCTTATTTCTATCTAGTTATTGCAACATGTACATTTCCCTGGTGAAGGATCGACAAAGCTTATTTTATCTTATCTTATTACTTGTAGAATTGACCAGGATCGTTGCATTAAAATCAACAAACTCTGGACCCCCTCAGAATCAGCTGACTTTTAGTATGTTTAAAGAAGCACTGAAAATTGTACTTTCATACTATGTATATTTGTCTGAGTTAAAGGACCGTGAAGTACCAAGGGCTAGGTTGAAATTTTGCACTTTTTGAATATTTAAGTGATGAATGTGAAACATGGGCTGAGCATAGAGAGGAAGTGGGATGACCTTACTTTGCCCAGAGCATGGTGTCTCACAGTTTCAACTATTTTAACCCTGAAATGAGACTTGAAAATGGTGCAGTTATGAGCTGCTTTGCACCTGTTGTAAATATTTGTGAGAAGACAACAGTTAAGCATGAAATAAAGAGGAGTACACAAAAAGAGCTTCAACTCAGTGTCGGGAAAAACATTGAAGTGCAACTTTTCACAGCAAATGACAAATCAAACTAAGCTTCAACATAGCATTTCATTTTGTTTATTCAGTGAGATTCTTGGTTGCGAAGACCCGTGGAGTCCTCTATGTTCCTGCATGTTTGTTTAAGACGAGACAAACTGCAGGAGTGAAGTGAGCAGCCTGGCAAGATGGTGCAGTCTTCTTCTGAACGTGGAGAAGACAAAGGAGATTGTTGTAGACTTCAGGAGAGAGCACACCCAGCATGCTCCCCTAAACATCAACAGTGCGGCTGTGGAGAGGGTGAGCAGCACTAAGTTCCTGGATGTGCACATCTCAGAGGATCTCTCCTGGACCAACAACACTGCATCGCTGGCCAAGAAAGCTCAACAGTGTCTGTACTTCCTGCGCAAGCTGAGAAGAGCCAGAGCCCTGGCCCCCATCATGTCCACCTTCTACAGAGGCGCCATTGAGAGCATCCTCTCCACCTGCATCACTGTGTGGTACGGCTCCTGCACCGCTTCCTGTTGCAGGAGCGCATCATGAGAGCAGTGGAGAAGGTCGTTGGTGTCTCTCTCCCCTCCCTCAGTGAGGACGGTGAAGGAAAAACTTGACATGGAGCCAAATCAGCGAGTAAAATGTTTTTGGCACTTAGCAGCCCCCTTGATAGGGGTGAAAGGAGTGTTTTTTGTGTAAAGAAGAGCAATTTTGAATATTTCATGTAACCGAATTTGTCTGTTATACCTGACGCCAGGGGTCAAGCATTAAACAAAATGGAAAACAGGGAAAGTAAGTGATTAATATCAATATTTATTTTTCACAGTACAAAAAAATCCTAAAAATCACAATCCCATTTATCCGAACGAGGTCTAATCTTATACCATTGAGACCGGTTGCACATGAGCCCGAAGAACCAAAGGAGAAATTCACTGCCACTGCCTACAATCATCACACTGAAGTCGGGTCTCAAAGCTACCTTGGATCTCAATAAGGAAGTGAATAAAACAAAGAAAACAATTAACAGAAATAAGAAGAGTTAGTCTGCTCTTGCATGATGCATCCCAGCTCTTTACAGGCCCTGCAAGGCCAAGCGGACTAACACAAACAAAACCTACAAACAAAAACCAGAAAGGACAGCAGGAGACTGTGCAATCACGATGGACAGTCCCTGCAAAGCACAAACAATGAAAGCACAATTTATTGATTAAATGAATGATTAAACATAACTGAAGCAGAATAAAACAGCTTTTCATGAACAAAGCAAAAACAAAGAAAACAAATCATTTAAAACCAGCAGATTCATAACGAATAAAGTTTTTTTCAATTGAATTAAATTGAAGAAAAACTAAAGCAAATGCCACGGAATCCCAACTGCTTGGAGCTCTTTGATGTGGCATGATGTCACTATGACATCATCAAAGTCTATAATATAGCACATTCTAAACTTCTAGCTTTAGACCTCACTGGACCAGCTAACATTACTGTTAAACCAGCAAGGATCTGACAGACACCAGAGGACTGCTCAGAAAGATGGATGACAGAGGAGATAGACTTGGTATGGTTCCCAACGATCTAATTAGTCACACAGTGATTCCATTCAGCCTGGATGCACTGGAATATATGTTTGAGGCACACTTTCCCGAGTCTGCCCCTTCATTTATTGAGAGGATTCGACGGGAAACTCGTCACGGTGTGGAGGAACCAGTGTTGGCCAATTTGATGGCTTTTTATGACTTTTTCGCCCTTGGCCACGTTGACGTTGACGCTGACAATGTTAGAAACAACAGGATTGTTGGTGTCGAGGAGGTAATCCAGGAGGTAATCCTGGAAGAAGAAGCTGTGGTTCCTCAGCCAGAAGCATCAAGACATCAGCAGAGAGAGGAGGAAGATGACGATGATGATGATGATGATCAAAGACGATTCCACTGGTGGGATGAGTTTGATGATACTGATTCTGAATCAGAGTCTCTCAGCCCTTCAGATGATGAGGAGGATGTCGCTGATGATGTTCCAGTTTCTCCTCAAGTCAGTCAGGATGTTCTTCCAAATTCATCCAGAAAAAGACGGAGGGAAGACGACGAGGACGTCGATGATGGGACCAGCAAACATTTCCGATTAGGGAAAGAAGTTGCTGAAGAGGAATCGTCCCATCCAAAAGATAAAGATCTGGAAGGGGTCAGCCAGGAAGAAAACGAAAGCAGTCCTGGTGTATTAAAAAGAGCAAGAGAAGATGATGAAGAGGACGAAGACAAGAAAAGAAGTCCAAAACAGTCCAGGCGCAAATAATTGAAAGACAAAGCGCTAGAAGAGCTTAGCCAGGAGAAAAATGGAAAAAAGAACAAGAAGAAAAAATTCCTGGTAGCTTAAAAAAGGGGGAAAGGGAAAAATCTGAATCAGATCCCTTTTCCCTCACCCCAACTGGTCAAGGCAGATGGCTGCCCTCCCTGAGCGCTGGGTTTGACACACAGCAGCCGGGGTGAGGAGGGTTTGGGGACCTTAGGATTGCGTCTCTGCTTTTTGCAGACGACATGGTACTGCTGGCTTCATCAGACCAGGACAGTTAACACCTGCAGGCACTTGGAAAAATGTTGGACATGTTGATTAAAGTTTTAATTTTTTTAAATTTGTAAAATAAATGAACAAATCCCATTTTAATTTCTTTGTCAATTAATGATTTAAGGAATTTTAACTTTGTTGTACTGCAAAAGAAGACATTTTTGAGTTATCTTTGCTTCTTGGCCTGGATGTGCTTCTTCCACAGAGTCAAAATGTGACAGAAGCAACAAAAAACACCCAGACATTCTGGGGTTCAGAGGGTCAAAGGAGTTGTCCCACATCCTTCAGGCGCTGACTTTCACAGTTTCACTCACTCTGCTGTCAGTAGGCTCCTAAATGTAACTTGAAAAGAAAGCAATAATAAAAAGAACATTTAATTCTACTTATCCCACTTGTTTATGTTCCAGCAACCTGCAGAATTCTGTCACTTCAAATGTAAACATTGTGCAGGCTTCAAACTTGCCAAAGCACAAATCTTCATGAAAACCGCCCCCTCTGCCGTAAACGAAGTCAAACAACAAGAAATGAGAGAGTTTCTGTTGTCTGAGATTCGTTGTCATCTAATGCCGGGTAGCAGTATAACATTAAACCTTACATATACCCACATACCAGCACAAATCCCTCTGTTTCTGTTATCATCTATCATAAAGTATTGCCACAAAGCCGACACAGAAATTTGGGGGGAAAAAAAACCTGTCCAAAGAGTACTTTGCAGCAAAAGTGAGAAACAGGCTCAATGGCATGTCCAAGAGAATGGAGGTGGTACTGGCAGTAGGTTATACTGACTCAACATGAGAGTAGTACCTGGAATTGATTAGTAACTGTAATGTGATTACTGAATTTAGGAACAGTAATGTGTTACATGACTGTGCTAGACAAAAATGTAGTGAGTTTACACAACTT